TTTATTGCACACCGATTGGGCATTCAGGAGGGCACACAAAAATGGGGGGTGGTTTTGGGGAGGAGAGGGACAGGTATTAGATTAGGGGGGTTGCGGCAGTTCGTGGAAGTAGGATGGATGGTTTGGACTTGTGTTCTAGCGGCCCCTAGCCATGTTTCCAGCTCACCACAGCAGCTTCAGGCAACAGTTCTGACCCCAATCTGGGTTTATTCCTGTAAGCAATATTCTTATATTTTTATTTATTTTTTAATCACTCAGTTTTTACTATATGACTCTTTGTGTATATATATTGTTAAGCGGACCTTAATAGAGATTTTTTTGCCATCAGTTTTGACATACATCAGTTTTGTGTGGAGCATAGTTTTTTAATGTTTACAAAATGACCTTTGTGCAGCTACAGTCTCTGACGCCTGACATGGCCCATTAGCCAGACCCTGCCCTTCATGTGATAGCTAGAGGGGCCAATGTGATGAAAGATATGGGCAGCACTGTGGCTAAATGGCTAGCACTTCCACCTGGCAGCACTAGGGTCGTTGGTTTGAATCCCAACCATGACACCACCTGCCTGGAGTTTGCATGTTCTTCCTGGGCCTGTGTGGGTTTCCTCCAGGTACTCCAGTTTCCTCCCACACTCCAAAGACATGCTGGTAGGTGAATTGGCTCCTGTCTAAATTGTCCCTAGTATGTGTATGTATGAATGTAAGTTAGGGACCTTAGACTGTACACCCCTTGAGGGTTAGGGACTGATGTGAATGTACTATATATGTAAAGCGCTGCGTAAATTAACAGCACTATATAGGAACCTGAAATAAAAATAAATGTGAGTATATATATATATATATATCTAGCCATGACTCATGTTGGCCAGCTTAGCTCTGAGGAAGGGGGTGCACCCCCAAAACGCATCAGCTAGCCAGTTTGGCACGATTGCATGACTTCATGCGATTTCCATTCACTGTGGCATCTTGTGTTTTCTTCCTCCACTTCTGGGAGTATTCACTTGGCACCTGTTGGATTTTACACCAAATAAATTGCTGATAATGCACTAGATGTTTGCGCTATCCTGTTCTTTCTTTTTGAACTTAAAGTGTTACTAAACACACAATAGTAAAATCAGTCTGTATATACAGTAAAGCATGCTTGTTATACTCACTGTGGAACCTAAGGGGTTAATCTTCCACATTGTGTAGAAAGGATATTTGATCCTGACTTCTCTGATCCTCCCCTTCTTCTACTGTCCCCAATCCATCTTCTGACAGAACAGAGCCTTGGAGGCAAGTTGCACATGCTCAGTTTGGTGTGTATTGCTAAAGAGTTTTTTTCTCGGGAGAGTGCATGTGATCAGTGTGATGGGCGCGGCGTCAGACCCCAGCCCTTCTCACCAAACTCGTGACCGAAGGACTAGCCAATCTAAAACTGTGCAGTCACGGGCGTAACAATGCCACTCCCAGCTGCAACCTGCACAAAGATTTTCCAGCTAATGGACTACAATCTGTGTACCTGCAGCCTGGACGCGATTGTTACTGGGTCAGGTTAATAACACAATTAACCCTTCACACTGCCACCACCTCCTCACTTGTCTGACTCCTCACAAAAACGAACTGCTTCTTTTTCTACACAACATCGACTAGTATCTTCCCTACCTTATTTGGCAGAGGAATTGTTAGGCAGGGCTCAGTATCATATGCTGCTTGCATTCCTGAGGGAGTGGCAATGAGGAGATACATGAAGCCTTCTCAATACAGTGAGCCTGTGCCTGGCTCTTGTGTGCACACCTCCCCCCTCAGGTGTTTGCATAGGAGTTTAAGAGAAATACCAAAATGCCGAAGTTTGAGGTAAAATGGAGAACCGCACTTCTCCCTGTGTGCAGGATTGTGACAAACGATTAGTAAAGTGCACTTGGGGAACGGGAGGGGGGAGCAATTATGGGAACTGATCCCCTGGGTGTCTCTCCCTGCAGCAGCTGAACGGGTGTCAAACTGGTGGCCCTCCACCTGTTGCCAAACTACAAGTCCCATGAGGCATTGCAAGATTGACAGTTACAAGCATGACTCCCAAAGGTAGAGGCATGATGGGACTTGTAGTTTTGCAACAGCTGGAGGGCCGCCAGTTTGACACCCCTGTAAAAAAACCCTCTCTCCCTCCCATCAGCTTTCAGCTGCTGCAGGGAGAGACACACAGGATTGGTTCCTGTAATTGCCCCCCTCCGCAATCACCTTCCCTGTCTAGGATTCAATTTGATTCCCCTGCTGCCCGCTAATAATGATTTTAGTGTATTCATAATGAAAATAACATTTTAATATTTTTTTTTGGGGGGGGGGGGGTGTTGTCAGATAGGCTATATGGGGCCCCTGGTTTCTAACAACATCCCTGAGCTCCATTGAATATAATGGGAATCTTGGTGTTGAGCACTGAAGCCTTTCAGGTGATGCACTTCAAATTGCTCAGGGTGGGAATGGGGTCTATTACGTGTTCCTTAACCGCTTTCTTGCCGCCCTGTAGCAGATATACAGATATCACATGTGTATATATGTGATTTTGCATTTTCGGGTAGGGGCGCACCCAAGCCACGTGCCCGCCCTACCCACGGCACTATTCGCGGCCATGGCTGTCAATCACCGGGTCCTGGCCGGTTTTTACTCACCAGCACCCGGTGATTGCGGAGCATTACTGACGGAGGGAGAGAACTCTGTAAACAATACAGTTCTCTCCCGTCAGCTCCTGCACACTGCTTTGCATGGCTCAGCAGAGCCATGCAAAGCAGTGTTCTTACATTTGAAAGCACACAACCCTATGATAGCCCCAGATGTTAACCCCTTCATGCCCAGTGCCATTAGTACACTGTCAGTGCTTTTTATTAGCACTGATCACTGTATTGGTGTCACTGGGGATGTCAGTGACACCAAGTCAGTTCCCCCAGTGTCAGAATGCCCGCCGCAGTACCGCTATAAGTAGCTAATCGCCGCCATTACTAGTAAAAATATTTTTTTAAAAAGCCCAGTATCTATACTGTCATTTGTAAGCGCTACAATTTTCATGTAAACGAATGAATTTACACGTATTGGGATTTTTTTTAGCAAAGACATAGCAGAATACATCTTGGCCTAAATGTATGAGGAAATTTAAATTTTACATTTTTTTATTGGACATGTTTAATAGCAAAAAGTAAAAAATATTGTTTTTTTCTCTCAAAATTGTTTTTTTTATAGCACAAAAAAAATGATGATCAAATACCACCAAGAGAAAGCTCTATTCATGGGAAAAAAGGACGTAAATTTCATTTGGGTGTAGCATTGCATTACTAGTAAAAATAATTTTAAAAAAAGCCAGCATATATACCGCCATTTGTAAACGCTATAACTTTCACGTAAACCAATGAATTTACACGTATTGGGATTTTTTTTTAGCAAAGACATGTAGCAGAATACATTTTGGCCTAAATTTATGAGGAAATTGTTTTTTTTTTTTTACATTTTTTTTACTGGACATGTTTAATAGCAAAAAAAAGTCAAAAAGATTGTTTTTTTCTTAAAATCGTCAGTCTTTTTTTTTTTATAGCGCAAAAAATAAAACCGCACAGGCGATCAAATACCACTGAAAGAAAGCTCTATTCGTGGAAAAAAAAAGGGAGTAAATATCATTTGGGTGCAGCCGTTGCATTACCCCGCAATTGTCAGTTAAAGTAACGCAGCTCCGTAACGCAAATAATGGGTTGGTCAGGAAAGGGGGTAAATCCTCTGGAGGGCAAGCGGTTAATAGCAAAAAGTCACAAATATTGTTTTTTCCTCAAAATTGTTGGTCTATTTTTTTTTTTTATAGCGCAAAAACTAAAAACTGCACGGGTGATCAAATACCACTGAAAGAAAGCTCTATTTGTGGGGAAAAAAGAACGTAAATTTCATTTGGGTGCAGCGTTGCATGTCCACACAATTGTCAGTTAAAGTAATGCAGCGCCGTAACACAAAAAATGGCCTGGTCAGGAAGGGGGGGGGGGAAATCCTCTGGATGGCAAGTGGTTGATAGCAAAAAGTCAAAAATATTGTTTTTTTTCTCAAAATTGTCGGTCTTTTTTTGTTTATAGTGCAAAAAATAAAAAGCACACAGACAATAAAATACCACTGAAAGAAAGCTCTATTTGTGGGCGAAAAAAGGACATAAATTTCATTTGGTCAAAGTAACGCAGCTCCGTAACGCAAAAAATGGCCTGGTCAGGAAGGGGGGTAAATCCTCAGGAGGGCAAGTGGTTAATAGCAAAAAGTCAAAAATATTGTTTTTTCCTCAAAATTGTTTGTATTTTATAAATCAGCAGCGCCAAAATTAGACAAATTAAATATACAAATAAATGCTGCTGCTCATCAGTGCAAACCCACACCAAAAAATATATTATAAATATTAATGTTTTATAATATTTTTTTTTGTTTGTAGCGCAAAAAATAAAAAATGCAGTGGTAATCAAATACCACTGAAAGAAGGCTCTATTCGTGAGGGAAAAAAAATACGTAAATTTAATTTGGTCAAAGTAACGCAGCTCCGTAATACAAAAAAATGTCCTGGTCAGGAAGGGGGGTAAATCCTCAGGAGGGCAAATGCTTCATTTGTGAATAGGCCCAAAAATAAAAGCTCTCATTGTTCCACACAGAAACGCTGGCTCTGCTCTTTATTGTGAACTGTTATCGTGTATCATGCTGTGTACTGTGCTCAGGGACTATAGTGACACCTCAGGAGCTGACACGAACACTTGTAAAGCTATGTGCATTTATTTTTCCTGTTTTTTTTAGCATTGACCAAGCCTGTAAGAGGTCTGCATCCGCTCCACAGTGACCATGGGATCAATGTATTCTCCCTTGCGGCCATTTCAGGCGTTCTCCATGGCGCCGCCATTAGTGGGAGCGGAGAGGCGGTGCCAAGCTCCATAGGAGGAGTGGCACGGCAGTGGGAGCCGCCATTATCCTTTTTTCCCTCTGCAACTGCCCTTTCCTCGCCATTGTTTTTAGCTAACGATGTTGGCCGAAGAGGATATGAAAGACGAGACCATGATGGAGGCCTCCGCCAGCGAGGCCGAGGGCGGCGCACCCAGCGAAGGCGTCAAGATTAACGCCAGCAAAGCCGAGGAGGACGAGGGGTGAGCGCGCTGCACTGCCATGGAATGCCTGCAACATCCGCAGTCATTTATTATTGGGGGTTTTGTTTCAGCGCCGGGAGGTGCAGTGGTGTGTTATGAGGAGTACTGGTGCAGTCCTATGTGACCGCCTGCTGGCTCAGCACCATCGCCTGTAACGGCAGGGGCCCGGTCACGTGAGCAGCCTGGGACCGGTTTAGGTTGTGCTGGATGAGGGCTCCTCTATTCCACCTATGTGTATGAACTAGCACCGTGTCTGTTTGGGGACGATAAGAACATATCTTGTATACACACATGAAGCTCTCCAGCACGATACAGAGTGAAGACTGCAAGTCGCCTGCACATGCAGATGCTTCATGGGAGTGGGGGAGACGTTAGGCCTCATGCACATGGAGGCTTAGGGACATCCGCATGGATTGCAGGGGTATTTCTGTACTCGTAGTGTTTAGCCGCCCATAGTAATAATGGCTGTCCACAGGTATGCACCATGCTTGTGTAAATTTTGCACACAGACATAAGGCCTCTTGTACACAGAAAAAAAAGGATCTGAACAAGGGTGCATTGTTGTCTATGGCATCGGTTTTCCACCTTTTTGAGACCACGGCCTGGTCAAGTGTTCCAAAAACCTTGCGTGCCCACAAAGTAAAATGTGCAATACAATGATGCCTGGGTGTCACTGTGGGGAGGGCGGGTTAGGAGACTGCAGCAGAAAGCCTTGTCGGGGATGAGGTTTCTCGGGGGTTGGGGGATGGCAGCTATGGTTTGCTGTTTGAGATTGGGGACGTTATGGAGGAGCAGAGGCTCTGCTGGAAGCTGGGTGACAGCTTTGTGCTCTCCTTCCCAGTGGACTTGTTGACACAAGCTTTGCTGTTTGAAGAGCAATCTGTGTTTGGATGGCTCTTTAGAGAGCATTTGACAGGTGTGGACATTTATTGCCTCCTCGACGGTCTTTTAACACCTCGATCCCTGCACCAGCACACCACAAATGTGTGCACTACTCACAGTTGTGAGGCTCCAGGCCCATTCACTTGATAGGTCACGTTTAGGCCTGCTGAAGGCAACAGGGCATGATCATGTGCACACCTCTAGTTGCTGCCTCTGTAGCTAAAGCGGTAGGGGGATGGCAAAAGTGTGGCTTAACTGTGGAGTTTTAATGCCCCCTTCCCCATTGCTAATCTGACTGAGCCCCATGGGGGCACTGTGGGAGGTTGGGGGCAACTGTGGTAGCTGGGAGGCACTGTGGTAGGTTAAGGGATCTGCAGCTGGCTGAAGGCCCCAGAGAAGGGAGGCCTTGGCTTGGCAGTTGAGGCACGGGAGAAAGGGAGGCCGCGGCCCGGCGGTGGAGGCACGGGAGAAGGGTGGGCAGTGGAGGTGCGGGAAATGGGTGGCTGCAGTGTAGTTGGTGGAGGCACGGGAGAAGGGAGGGCCACGGCCCAGCAGTGGTGGTATGGGAGAAGGGTGGGCAATGGAGGCGCGGGAAATGGATGGCCACAATGCAGGCGGTGGAGGTGTGGGAAATGGGTGGCCACAGTGGAGATGTGGGAGAAGGGAGGCCACGGCCAGGTGGTGGAGGCATGGGAAAAGGGTGGGAGAAGGGAGGCCATGGCCTGGCAGTAGAGGCATAGGAGAAGGGTGGGAAATGGGTGGCCGCAATGCAGGTGGTGGAGGCACAGGAAATGGGAGGCACACCGTGGTGGAGGCGCGGGAGAAGGGAGGCCCGTGGCCCGGCGGTGGAGGCACGAGATAAGGGTGGGGGCAATGGAGGCGTGGGAAACGGGTGGCTGCAGTGCAGGTGGTTGAGGCGTGGGAAACGGGTGGCCGTGGGTGGAGGCACCATTGAATGGAGGCCGTGCCTCGGCAGTGGAGGCACAGGCAGGGCAAGGTAGGCCACAACTCGGCTCCAGAAGCATAGGGGTGAAGGGAGGCCACGGGTCAGCCGTGGAGGCACAGGAGGCCATGGCTCATCAGTTGTCCACGGCCTGGTAGTTGAAAACTACTGGTCTATGGGACAATGTACATAGCTGCATAACTATCTATAACATAGCAATATGTTAACTGTTAAAGAAAAACACAGAAAATGTTATGTTTGAGTGCAGTAATTTACAACGCGTATACATGTGCAAGGGTATTCGCATAAATTGAAATGCTGGCAGCTAGAAGAGGATGAGGAAGAATTTTGCGCACGTATATGCGAGGTCTTTATGTAACATAAATTGCTTTTTTTTTCCTTGGGATCTTTTTGCCAGCCACTGCCACTAAGATCAACAGTTTATTATAAAGAGGCCTAAGTCCATGAATACAGAAAAGCCATGTTTGTGGACTTTTATGCAAGCACTGTGTATATCTACTCTTTGGCATTCATTGCTGTGTCACCTAGGTGTGGAAATACACCCACAATTTACACTGGATGTCCAAAAGTTTTTGTGTGCACTAGAGTTTTGAGTAAATATGTACTCTGTTGTAGGCTGTGTACCTGTTATCACCTTTTCTGGGAAAAATACACACTTTATGATCTCTTTTTTTATAATAACTTTAGTGGAAAAAAATCTGACAAGTTAAAACCCTCCCTTGCTCTATCCAAAAGGGAAACAAAAAAAGTTTTGCCTATAGTTCTACATTAGTTTATGGCCCATTCACATTTGCAGTAATGCACATGCTCTACTGTACAGTAAAGTGCAACACATGGCACACTGCAATGCACATACCATGTGTTGTGGTGCACTAGTTTTGAAAAAAAAAAAAAAAGGACAATGTGTTTTTTTTTTTTTCCCCCCTCCATATGTTGTGGTCCATTGGCAGCTTATTCACAATGAATGAGCTGCCTTAAAATGGTATTAAAGTTAAAAGCAAACCTTTATTTTATTGCAGCTCTCCAGTTCTTATGCAGGCCATAGATTGGACAAAAACCGGCCGTTTAAAAAAGAAAAAAAACGAAAAATCGGTCGTTCAGTAGGCCGACGTTACCACCAACGGTAAAAAAAATTCGGGATTTTGACACATTTTTTTAACGGTGAAGTTGGAAAAAAAATCGTCCGATTTTGCCGATCAGTCGCTTTTCCTGGCAATGATGGGCAAATCGGCCAATCTTTTTACCAATAAAAATCTGTGCATGAGTCGTGGCCTGCAAGAAGAAGAAAAAGAATAAGATTTCCAGTCTGCTATTATATTTGACATGAAAAAGTATTGTGGTTGCAATGTATCTATTTGTATCCATTTCAGATACAGATGGTTTTATTTGGATACAAATAGATACATTGTTGCAACCACAATACTTTTTCATTTGTATCCAAATAAAAACATCTGTATCTGAAATGGATACAAATAGATACATTGCAACCACAATACTTTTTCATGTCAAATATAATAGCGGAGCTCTCTTCAGGGACAGAGGTAATTAAATGCCGGCCGTAGACGGGATGAAAATTGGCCGTTTTTTTTTTTTTTTTACCATTGGTGGTAACGTCGGCCTATTGAACGACGATTTTTTTTTTTTTTAAAACCGGCCTGTTTTCGACTCGTCTATGGCTTGATCTGGCCAGTAAGTCTGCTGTTTCTCAGAAGAACAACTGCAAATGTATCAGTTAAAGGGATGAGATAAACCATTTATCTCTAGCAGGAGTGTTTACAGTGATCAGCTTTTATTTAATTATGCAAAGCATTTATCCCAAAAGGAAAAAAAAAAAACTGTTTGCTGTAACTACTTATAAAATGTTAGCTGGAGTTTGGCTTCAATTTGTTAGTGTTTGTAAGCCCATACATTATGCCTTTTTTTTTTTTTTTTTTTTCTCCTTTCAACATGTTGAACGATAGAAAATGCTGAGGTATTCTGAAAGCGGGTAGCCTTCCTCACCATCAGAATACAATGATCAGTGATGCCAGCCTTAGGCAGGCAGCACTGATCACTTGGGAAAAACCCCAACAGGGTTATTGGTTAAGAGAATGGCTTCTGTAGAACCAGCCTGCCCATACATAGATTGAAATTTGGCTGGTCCCTGCTGAAACAGCTGAATTTTTATCCATGTATGGCCAGCTTAAATCTGCTAGTTCATCTAACACTACCCCCCCCCCATACTGTCAGAGCTGCTGTCCAAAGGTGCCCCTTGTGCTTCTTTATCCAGAGTGGAGGCACTCTAATGCAGGAGGTGTGTAACTGGCCAGATCACCGGTGAAAACAGATTCAGCCATCACATCTAAGGATTGGTAAGCTGCAACATGTTACATTTTTGGTTGAATATCACTTTAAAGTAGAACTAAAGGCAAAATGTGTGGGGTTTTTTTTTTCCCTTTTTTTTTTTCTTTTTTTATAGAGTTAGAAGGTTATTTCAATCGTCAGTTTTTTGCCACCTTTGTCCCACTGGGGAGATTCTCTCAGCCAAAAGCCAAAATAGGAATTGAGAGGAGATCGATCCAAAGTGAGCGAAATCCCTGGTTGTCACAAAAACCAGTGTCCCCATTGGGAGATTTCCCCATCACTGTTCTGGTGGCAACCCAAAATTTGGGATTTTCTTTCTATTTCACTCATATGATAGGGGTACACAGGACAAATAGAGAATATCCCTAACAGTGACACATACAGCAATAAAACCCTGGCAGGTGTTCTGATCTCCCTCTAGTCTATCGAAAATTATAACAAAATTTGCCTTTAGTTATACTTAAAGCGGAGCTCCACCCAAAAGGGGAAGTTCTGCTTTAATGCTTTGTCCCTCGTTCCCTATTAAGGATTGACACCTTTGGGGAGCGGGTACCCGAATTTGACAGGTACCCACTTCCGCTGCGATCACTTAGGCGATTGGAAGTGGAAGTTGTCATCACCCTCCCCCTAGTCTTCTGGGACATGTGACAGGTCCCGGAAGTCTACGGGTCTATTCACAAAGCGCAGTGCTGCTCGCGCATGCGGCTGTGAAGCCGCAAGCTGACACAGCTGGGTGACTACACTAAAGATGCCGGCGCCAGGGTGAGAAGATGGCTGGTGAGGACACTGCTGGACTGGGGGACAGGTAACT